TTTTCCTTAAAAATGCTTTTGCAAAGATTTTAGCCAGATGGCCTTGCCGCACTTGCAGAAATTAATTTGAATACAATATTTTATTGGAATTTTTTCTCGTGGAAGGGATCTTCTAGACAACCCCAATTATACTGATTTAAACTTGATTAAATGTATTAAACCTCAAGATTCTTGATAAAACACATTAAGCCTCAGTAACAGTTCCGGAGGTTCTGCTCTGAGTGTGTGTGTGTCAACTAGCACCTGTTGATATGGGCAGGAACTGACTAATTCCCCTGTGTTTAACATGAGCGCAGTCTCAGGTCTGATACCATCAAATACCGCCCTTAGCTCTTGCACAGACTATCTGTGCCCTACAAGAAAAGAGGAGTGGATAATAGCTGGGCTAAGCAACGTAATCGTGGCAGCTGGCTGAGGCACCTTTACAGCTGCTACCTGTCCTAGTTTCATTGTAAGCAAAGTCTTTGCTTAAGGAACAGATTATGGAATTAGAGGTCCCTGATCTTCTCATAAGGTAGATGGGGTGAAGTGAAAGAACCATCTGCGCTGTTCAGCTGCTGAAAAAATTTAGAAAGCAGAACTTGGTTAGTAGGAGGGAACCAGATAAACAAAAAGGTAACACTTGAGGTTTCAGTGGAGCAGCCTGCTTTGAAAACTGCTTGGTTAAGAAGTCCAGGGTGGGTTTCAGGGTTGTTTTGGTGTTTTTACATTTTACAGAATAAATTGAAGATGTTTGCCAAGTCATATCGTTCCAGGTATGTGCTATAAAATGAAATTATGTGTCGTTAAGATGGTGGGAGACTTAACTGCAAGTGTCTGTTTGCCGTACTGTCTGTACTTTCCCTTTCAAATTCTTAAGTAAAGTTCACTTCTGGCAAACAGAGACTCACACAGCTCTACCTCAATCCAGAGCAGTGTTAAACCTCTAATGTGGACTGAGAAAAAATTAACCACAATTCACTTTGATTTAATTTAATCAGAATGGCTCAAATGAAAACAAATCTTGTTTATTTATTTAATTAATGTTCCTTATGTGTTAGTGAAGTTGTGTTGAGGTTAAATATTAATGGGCTGGATTTGTCACCTGTAATTCCAGGCTACAACCCTCTGTCTGGAGAAGGAGGTGGAACGTGCTCCTGGAGGCCAGGTCGCAGAGGCCCGTCGGCAGGTGGATGAGGCTAACGCCCCTCGTGTCCCATGTCTTGCCCACTGTCTAACTGCCTAGAGCTTGCGTGTCACAGGGACTCCTTTGGGATTGGGTTTAGCACAGGTACTCGCTTGCAAACAGATGTCCACGAGTTCCAAATATTTAACACAGCAACTGTTACTATACCAGAAAAAATACTCTATCCTCTTAAAGAGGGTGAAGAATGAAACAATGTCAGTATAAACAGTTAATTTTCACCCTTCTGTAGGGGGGAAACATAGTTACCAGCTGAGGTGCAGCATGGGGGATGTGAGATCTGGGTTCTGTGGGTATTCGAAAGACTGAGCACAGGCAAATTAACTATCTGTGTCTCTGTTTACCTCTCCAAAATGAGGATATTTACCACTCCCAAGCATGTGTCAGGAGGTTTACAGTGTTTGGCTGGAAGGATAGGTAGAAGGGAAGGATATTATCACTTGCAGTCTAAATTGCAGCTTAAATTCTAGAAGAGGGACTTTCAGAAAATCCAGATGAACTGACAGATGCCTTGGGTTCGCGCTGAGGGCCAGGTGTTGTAGATGAGTCTCTGTGACAAGCTACCTTGAATGATGTTTTCCTTATAAATGGTGAACAAACCAGTGAGGATTACTGATGCTAGACAGCAGATGGGGGTTTCTTGCTATTTCTTTTTTATTTTCAACTGCTTTGTAAAGACAAAATATTATTAATATTAAATATCATTGCAAAGAAATCATAGAGTATTTACAATCTTGTGGTTTTCTACAGCATTTTTTATATAGAAGGTATACATTCTAGTGCAATAAATGTATAAAATGAGATGCATCCTATGAGAGATTACATTTTCATTTAAGTGCTTGTGTGGAATGAAGGAGTGTTTTTGTTTTTTTTAAAAAAAAAGTTGTTTTTTTAGGTTTTTAATGATTATGTTTTATCTGAGTGTTCTTTGTTCCAAGTCATGATTGGAAGAGAGTCACTTTTAGTTTAAGACCAAAATAAGTTTTCCCAGGTCCAAAAATTGAACCTGAACATTCTCTGCCTGCTTCCTTGCCCCTTCACTCCACCAAGAATGATTCTGAAATGGGGCAGAATGAATTGCTAATTACCAAGCACTGCAATTATACCTGTAGGTGGGGGAGTTCTCACCCTGCCACCAGCTCATGCAGCGCCAGCCTCGAGGACTGTTTCTGTAACTAACAAACATTGAAATTCATAGGTGGGAGACTGAGGAGAGCTTTAGTAGCTAGAGAGAGTGCTGTCTTCATTTTTCTGGTATTTGTCCAGCAATGTGGACAGAAAACAGAGTTGGAGATGGTCATCATAAATGAGCTTCCCAGACACCCCGTGTTCTCAGTATGCTGTTTGGCCCAACGCGTAGAAGATGATTAAACAAACACCAAGACTGCCCTTAATAAGATGAAATCGCTCCTGTCAGCATACGACACACAGCCTTGACACACTGTGGCTTTGGTTACTCTTACTGAGCTGTATATGTGGCATAAAAATATGTCAGTAATTTATTAGCATAGCTTAAGGCTGCTTACAGGCTTGTTTCTAAACACTTACGCTTGAAATATTTGTGTTTGTTAATATGTTTGAGTGCCAACGTTGAAAACGCTGTTTATACATATATAGAGACTGCTCTACATGTCATGATCTGTGATTTTTCTATGACTATAAGTGTAACAGTAGCATGTTGCTTAATAAGTTAAAAAGTTGCCAGCTAACAAGATGGAAAAGCAAAGAACCTTTTACTTTAGACATCTTAAATGTGTGTTTAAATGCATATAGAAGATGAAGTGAGAGGGCTATTAATGTTCCTATGGAAACTAGTTTTCATTTCTTGACTTCTGTGTGTTTTGATATGTACACTTACATTTCTGTTGTTGGATTTACTGTGTGATATGGACTACAATATGTAACTTCAGGTTTTAATTTATAATAAGGCAAAAAAAATAGAGGATGGGGAAAGATTTTCAAGATCTGAAGATTCTTCATCCATAAAGAGGTATAAGCTGTTATCTCACACAGGCCTCTGGGAAACATTTTTCCTTGCATTGAGGAAATAGGCAACAGAAGGAGGTGTTGTCTTCAGAAAAATAGCGTGGTTGTATTAAAGATGCAAAACTCCTGTAGATAAAATGGTGAAGATGGGCTAATTTAATTCAGCAAAATCATTTCTAAATAAATTAGCAGGTCGGAACCAAGCATATGCTAATCTTTCTGTGTGTCTTGAGACTTGCTTGGGCTGGGGCTGCATGGATTTTTGCCCAACTGAGATCTGAAGACCTATCCAATGGGATGAAGTAATTCGCATGTTTTCTTGAAACTTAAGCATCCTTCTCTTTTAACTTTTATTAATAATAACATCATTGTTAATCCTTGGGTACCTAAATCCTGTCAGATACTGGGATTCTTTTTTTCAGATATTAGAATATTGAATGGGGTGACAGAACCTCAGCTTGTAAAACTTCTCTTTTGGCTTGCTGGCTACACAAACAGATACCAGCTTTTTCTTCTGACTTCAGGAAGAACCCAACCAAGCTTGGAAGGGTGGTTGCTTGTTGGGTTATAGCATAGGGGGGAATTAGCCACAAGGCAATAGGTGAAAATGAGCCAGTGAAGCTGTTGTTCGTGCACAAATTCCCGAAAACTTGAAACTTTAATTACAAAACCTTCACTTTTTGGTTTACAGCAATTATGGAAGAAACTTCTAAATTTACTGATGTAGACATGCTAGAAACACCATTATGTGGAATAATATAGATAATAATCTTGTAGTTAATATGCTACTAGGCTAGGAAGTATAGTGGTACTGAATACGTTAGTTGCCTGAAAAAACGTAGCTGGCTTTTTTTTCATTATCTTTCAGGTGCTCTATATGTTGGAGAAAGTTTTTTGTTTTTCACTTTTTAAATTGCATATGCAGTTCAGTTTATGCATAGCTCTATTAAATATTCACTAGGAAATGCCTAATACTGGAATTAAAAGTGAACAGAAAACATATTGTCACTTGTGAGATTTGTTTGGCTTTATCTGTGCCATTCAGAAAGATAGTGTCATGAGGAAAGGCTTTTCAGAGTGATGGTTGTGCTTATTTAGTTATTTTTAAAATGTTTCTGTTGCTGGAGGTTTTTATAGTGACCCACAGAAGATGGACTTGAGGGAGTGAGGGCAAAGGGGACCTCTATTAGCAAGCTGTTCCCAGCCTAGAATTCCCTGTGTGTTATTCAGAGTTCATATAAATGAAAATACTGATTTTTTGCACTATTCTACAAGGAGTTGCTCTCCTAGCAGAGGCTGAATGCAGATGAAAAGATAGAACTAATAAATACCTTACACAATTTTGATGCTAAATCCCTTAAGGAATTCAAGGTGTTCTGCTGCAGCTGCCCACTGTTACTTCATCCTCAGCTTGTGTTTGCTGGTAGTCAGTTCGGGTGGTTAGACTGGGCTATTTTTCCTTGTTTTTCTTTTTCCCCTTCCTTAGGAAGATGCCCCGAGAGCATCTCATGCAGCAAACCCTGTCGGCGCAGGGGTTGCAGCCCCCGTGACCATCTCCGCTGCGTTTGACACCAGGGCTGTTGTTAACGACCGCTCTGAGAGCGTCTGAAACTGCAGTTTGTGCTTCCTGCAGTCCCTGTCTCTGGCAGCCGCGTGTTCCCAGGCTTGGCTGCACATCAGCACACATCTCTGCAGCGGATCAGATCCACCCTTTTGAAGATTTTTGGCCTTGTCCAGGCTAAAAAGTGGCACCTTTTCAATGGTTGGTTTAGCCAAGAGAGCTGGGCACAGTGTCTCTGTGCTACTGAGCTCCACTCTGCTATCACTGAGCACTCAAATTGTATCATTTTCCACTGTAAAAGGAAAAAAAAAGGGGGGGGGGCTCGGCTTGGATAGGCTGAAGACTTCGGAGCTTTTCTTTCCTTTTTGGAATGAAAGCTTCATTTCTGGAGCAGCGCTGCAACCGCAAAGGAAAAGCCGAGCGCTGCCGGCTGGGTGGTGTCCCGGCCGGCCCGGCTTGGCAGGAGCTCCCAGCCCAGCTGCTCCAAGGCTGACACCGGCCCTGCCCGATTCCCAGCGCCAGCAGCTCTCCAGAAACGCTTGGGCTTTCACGAAGCAGCCAAAAACTGAAACAGAATGGGGCTCCTCAGTGCAGTTTTGGTGGTGACCCATGCGGGAATAAGCGTTTTTGCAGGTTTTGGTGGTGATGGGCTAGCAGGTCTGCAGTGTCTGGTCTCGTTCATCTTTTCTATTACCATTTTTGCTTTGAAGTGTGTGCCTGCTAAAAGACGCTTCCTGTACAGAGCGAGATCTCCATTGATGATTTAATGATTTCATTCCTTCTACTAATGGAGACTCTTTGTGTGCTGCTTTCCAAGCTCAGCTTAAATCCTGTGCAGTGGGTAACAGTGATGTAGGAATGGCAAGAACTTAATTCCCTCTAAAGGGAATGGAAGGCAAACATGAGGATGCAATTCATGGCTTTTCAGTCCAGTTCTAGTGCTCTGCTGTATGCACTGAGATTAGGGGCTATGGTCACCTTGGCCTCCAGGAAGCAGCTTCAAAACTAAACGAACCCACAAACTGTGGCTTTTAAACTCTCCCTGACCCCCTACTGAAGGGGGTGCTGCTCCTAGAAACCCGACTTAGCACTGCTACGTAGTTGCCACTTTGGCCGTTCCACTTCATGGATACATCGCGTCTTGGTGCTTGCTTTTGTAATGCCCCTTCTAGAGCTTTTCAACAGTTCATTGACTCCGCTCTGGGGGTAATTAAAAACCCTTGGTCAATCAAAGCTCTTTGATGCAGCACGCGCCGAAGAGCATCTGCCGCGTCCCAGCCGCTGACCGGAGCGCTCGAGCGGGTTACGGAGGGCTGCGCGCGGAAGAGGATGTTGCCCTTCCTCTCCTGCACGTCTAAAAAGCCACCACGTCCCCAGGCTGTGAGCAGCCAGATGTGACAAGGGTGGCAGCAGCGCCGCTGCTGCGCTGCGGTGCAGGGCCAGGGGATGGCAATGTTGTTCTAGCA